GGTGAATCTGGGATCTCTGTCTGACACGATAGTAACAGGTACTCCATGGAGTCGAACGATCCCACGGACATAAATCTCAGCCAACCTATCCAAAGACATACTCATCGATACGGGTAAGAAATGAGCAACCTTAGTCAATCTGTCGACCACGACCCAGATAGCATCGCGATGTTCAGACGACTTCGGTAATCCCGTGACAAAATCCATGGCAACCTCCTCCCACTTCCACCTTGGAATCGGCAGTGGTCGTAGAAGGCCTATGGGACTCTTATGCTCGGTTTTGACCTGCTGACAGGTTAAACATCTTCTTACAAAGTCGGCTACGTCTTTCTTCAATCTTCGCCACCAAAACGACCTTTTCAGGTCATGATACATCTTTGTACTTCCTGGATGGGCTAGGTATGGTGCGGTATGAGCCTCAGATAGAATCCCCTTTCTCAATGCTTCGACTTTCGGCACCACAATCCTACCACGAAACTCCAAGGCCCCATCAGTGCCTCGATGAAAACCCTCGATGCCTCCGGCGCGAACCTTGGCATCAATTGCACGAATAAACTCATCTGAAGCCTGCTCTTGCCGCATTCTTTCCCTCAGCGTCGGCTGAACCTGCATAGAACTCACACTCCCCGTACTGACTGTAGGAAGTGCATCAATCACTTAAATCTACATCCGGGCGAACTCCTGAATTAACTGACTCTGCTGAGTAACAACATATGTCAAGTCACCATTCACCTTGCGACTTAGGGCATCAGCAACTACATTTGCCTTTCCCGGATGGTACTGGATCGTACAATCATAATCCTTGACGAGCTCTAGCCAACGGCGTTGTCTCATATTGAGTTCCTTCTGGGTAAAGATATATTGTAAGCTCTTATGATCGGTAAAGATTTCGCATCGACCGCCGTATAGGTAGTGTCGCCAAATCTTAAGGGCATGAACAACTGCAGCTAATTCCAAGTCGTGCGTCGGGTAGTTCTGTTCATGTGGTTTAAGCTGGCGTGAAGCGTAAGCAACAACCTGGCCATCTTGCATGAGTACACATCCCAAACCATGCCTCGAAGCATCACTATAGATTGTGAAACTCCGAGAAGGATCTGGAATAGTCAACACCGGTGCCGTCGTAAGCCTCCTTTTTAGCTCCTGAAAACTGGACTCACAACGGTCTGTCCACTCGAACATTATAGACTTCCTCGTCAGCTGGGACAAAGGGAGGGCAATCTTCGAAAACCCCTCAATAAACCTGCGATAATAACCTGCAGGGCCGAGGAAACTACGAACCTCGGACGGATTCTTCGGTGCTGACCAATTCTGAACTGCGACAATTTTGGAAGGATCAACTTCAATACCTGCTTGAGTGATAATGTGGCCAAGAAAAGCCACTCGCTGAAGCCAAAACTCGCACTTGGAGGATTTTGCATATAACTTCTCGCATCTAAGGGTCAAAAGAACGACCCTCAGGTGCTCTTCGTGCTCCTTCTAGCTTTTGGAATAGATAAGAATATCGTCGATAAAGACAATAACAAACTGGTCGAGAAAAGGATGAAATACACGGTTCATCAAGTCCATGAATACTGCCGGGGCATTACTGAGGCCAAACGGCATAACCACAAACTCGAAGTGACCATATCTCGTACGAAAGGCTGTCTTGGGAATGTCTGACTCCTTGATTTTCAGCTGATGGTAGCCTGAACGCAAATCAATCTTGGAAAACACGCAGGCACCCCTCAACTGATCAAATAAATCATCAATCCTGGGAAGCGGATATTTATTCTTGATCGTCAACCAGTTAAGATCCCGGTAGTCAATACACATACGCATGGATCCGTCCTTCTTCTTGACAAAGAGAACGGGTGTTCCCCAAGGAGAAACGCTCGGTCGTATAAAACCGAGATTCAGCAACACTTGAATTTGGGTCTTTAGTTCCTCCAATTCTTCAGGCGCCATTCTGTACGGTGCCTTCGAAACGGGTCTGGCTCCAGGGACAAGATCAATAGAAAACTCCACCTGTCGGCTAGGTGGACCTCCGGGAAACTGGTCTGGAAACACGTCCACGAACTCACGAACGATAGGAATGTCATGAGGTGAACATGCCTTTGGCTCATCTCCAACGAGGCTCACAAGGTAACCCTGGCAATCACCCCGTCGAAGGGTCTTTCTGGCTTTCGTCATAGAAATAACATGAGGTAAAGTACGAGTCCTGGAGCCGTAATAAGAAATCTGATCATCTCCCGGAAGATAAAGAGTAATCTCCCGGTCATGACATCGGATATCTGCGTGAAAATGGGTTAGCCGATCCATACCGAGTATGAGGTCAAAGTCCCTCATCTCGATAACATAAGCATCAGTAATCAGAATACGGCCGCCGATGGAAAGGCTGAGATCGGTGGCTCTAGCGTCAGTCACTATCTTTCGTCCCGAGGCTAAACTCACCTCGAGAGGATCGACAGCGGTAGTGGAACGAACCCCAATAGCTTCGAGACATCGACGTGACATAAAGGAATGGGTCGCGCCAGTATCAAATAAGGCATAGACAGGCACATCATTAAGAATAATCATCCCGGACATGGTACCTGGGTGTTGGTCGGCCTCCCTCTGGTCAACTGCAAAGACGCGGGCCTGCTGTCTGCCGTGTGGCTGTTGCTGGGGTCGTGGTGGCTGCTGCCTGGGCTGCTGTTGTTGAGGTTGTTGTAGTGGTTGACGTTGTTGTGGTTGTTGTTGCAGTCGTTCAGGACAGTTGGGGCTGATATGGCCTGGCTGGCGGCAAAGGAAACAGATGTTCTGGCCTACAAGACATTCTCCACGATGATGTTTCCCATATGTTGGGCAAGCTGGTATTTGTCTGGGACGGGTCCTCCGGTCATCAAGAGTGTTTCTGAACTTCCTCTTCTTCTGGTTCTTTGACGGTTGGGCATCTTTGGGCTGGGCTGGTGACTGAGCAACTGGCTGGACTAATGTCTGGGCGGCTTCTCGTCGGATACTAGCATCGACTTCTTGTGCAATGAAAACTGTACGGGCGTAGGTCTGAACGCCGTGACCCACGATGTTGTGGCAGACTGCTGGGCGAAGTCCGTCGGTGAAACGATGAGCTCTCTTCGCCTCCGTACCCACAAGATCAGGTACAAAGGCTCCGGGACGGGTAAACTCTCTCTCATACTCGTCAACAGAACGAGTACCCTGGACGAGTGCCAAGAACTGGCGCTCCATGTCTGCTCGGTAATACGAGGGATAATACTTCTCTCAGATCAATTCCTTGAATCGGTCCCACGTACAACCTTCTTTCTCGTCGGGACGCATACTCCAATAGGCATTCCACCAGAGTCGGGCATCCCCGGTCAGCTGAATTTGGGCACATAACATGCGATAACGATCAGGGCAATCCATGACCTCGAAAATCATCTCGAGGCCCTGAATCCATTCATCTACTATACAAGGATCTCCTTGGCCGGAAAACTTTTCTGGTTGGTAGTCGCGAAACTGTGCGACCATTGTGGCCTGGGAGCGTTCCTGGTGTTCTGGATCTCTACGAGGAGGCATCTGAACATTGAAATGTTTAACATGATTAATAGCATGAAGATTAATAGCATGAAAGATTAATTGACTGACTGCTTAAGTACACAAATTTCTTGACGAGCCGCTAAATAACCCGAGAATACTAAAGTCAAACTATCAAGTGAACGAGACAATCGACTAGGTTCTGAAAATACTCGAACATCCTACTGGTATCTAGGGTCAATTATCTGATACCCTCTTACTGAGCATAGACTTAAGCATTCGTTTAAATATATAAACTATAACTCAGCACTTACCTGATAGTCGGCGAGGCGTGAGCGTGGCGTGGTCGGGTCTTTTATGAAAATTTCTGACTTAAAAAGTATTCAGATACACGAAAATGTGCTCTGATACCATTTTGTAACACCCCGCTAGCTTACTAAAATCAGAGTGCAATTTTTCGCAAATTCCTTTATAACTTACGTTTTAGTTTGCGAAATTATATCTCGGGATGCTACAGAAAAATATTTCTTTTCTAATAATTGTTATCTTTATATAATTCTAAACCCATTTATGAAAACGGATTATCTTTTATAAAACAAGAGTGTGATACTGTATAAAATCTGACCCGAATACTCGGATCGTCATCTGAAAATTTAAACGCTAGTTTGAGAGTCTGAAAACATCAGCGGAAGTAAAAACGTGGCAAGTAATATACATATAATAAGTCTGCCAAAGCATAAATACATATATACTGCACCGGTGACCACCAGCTCCGCTCACACCTCCGGACCGACCCTGTCACCTAAAAAAGGATCATAATAGTGGGAGCGTGAGTACTAAAATCACTGTACTCCGCAGAAACTCATACTGAATAAAACAGTAATAATAATTGCATCATCATGATCAAACGCATGTATATCTGCTGCTATCCGTAACTGCTCGTTAACAGTATAAACTGGACGTGTCTGCCGACTGTAATAAACTCAGCCGGAACCATGTGCACACCCTAGTGGTCAGATCTAGCCACTAGAGCTCAGAGTGGAATTACGCAAACTGGCCACCACTCTAAGCGGAACTGATATATACATACCTCGCGAATGATAGCTGTAATTATACTCAATGTAATACTCAGTTTGAGTCCCCACCTGAACTGCTAATGTAAGTGTTGCTGCTGATCACTCTGAAAAATATATAAATAAACAAATACTAAGTACTATGCTCAGACGGACTGAAAATAGCTGTTAAGACGCTCGACTCGATTTAAATATTTAACTGGAATATTCTCGGGGGTTAACTTGACTGACAAGAAAAATCGGACTGAACAGATACAAGTGAACTGGACTGACTGGACTGAAAAATTAACTGAAATATTGTACTAGACTCGGACCGAATCAAAAAATACTGAACAGCTCAAAAATCTGGTCTAAACCGGCTGGTTCATTTTTTTCTGGCTAGACCGTCGGCTCGCTGCGGCCGGGCGGTCGGTTGCGGGCTGACCACCGGCTCGGTCACTCGCGCACGCTGGGCATGGAGTGGGCGCTGCCGG